TGTACGTGGCTTGGTGGGCCCCAGCTGTAAAGGTCAAACTTAGGAATGTAGCGTGTCTGAACATTTACAATGATAGAGTAGCAAGAGGCTTGTATCGTGTTGTCTTTGGGAAAGGGACTGTAGAGTTGAAAAAAATTAATCACCCACCAGGCCGCCATCTTTAGTCTGATCTGATTTTTGCAATGATAGATCATAGCTGGAAAAATCAGGTACATCTGACCCCTTTAACATCATCTTTAACGATGGAAGCTCTATATGAGTTTCACTTGGAATCCGGAGTTTAGTTTAAACAGGCATTTAAGACAAGAGTCCTCATTGAGAGTACAGCCGTTACCCTGTTGAACGTAATGCAACATGGAATGTTCGATATTAGCAAAAGCCAAGCAAAGTCAGGAAAATCTTGTTTGAAACAAAGAAAAAGAGTACATAACTTATCTAACATTGGTCTTCTAAGGGAACTCTAGTCTTGCGCCTCTTATAAAATAAAAAGAAAATAATGATATAAGAACAGAAGAGATTTTTTTTTAATTTTCAGATTTAATGGGGCTCCTTTGACCTAATTTGAAATATTTGGACCTCTTTAGTTGGAGTGGGTGTTTTAGATTTGATGAGGACCTTGAAGCGAAGCGAACATATGTAATGAAGGGCTCTGAAATTCTGTTACCCCAAGAGCCTCTTAAAGCTCTCGTCCTGCAATATGATAGTGGATCACAGACGTAGAAGATATTTAAGGCAACAGAAATGTGGTTATACAGAAAATACCAGGAACCGAACATGTGAGCAACGATGAAGAAAACGGAAAGTAACAGGTACACATATAATCAGAAAGAGACAGCTGAAAACTCTACGGCACATATTGAGGAAAGAGGGCTTAGAAAATTTGACACTTACAGGACATATTGAAGACATGAGGGCTAGAGAAAAGCAGCGAATAATCGTCCTTACGAGATTGCGCAAATGGTTGGAAGGACAGGTATAAGTAAAAATAGCAAACGGACAAAATCTACAGTGGGCAACAAGGGACCGTAGATTGTGGAGAGCCATGATCACTCGCGTCCTGAATGGGAACGACAGAAAGAAAAGAAGATTTCGAATCAACATTCTTACGTCCGTTGACCAAATTCTGAACGGCAATACAGTGTGACACCATGCATACCTGACGAGCTGAGAGAAATATTCATAGATATATGATTTGTTTTTTACGGTTTATCAACCATTTAATAATTATTTAAAGCCGAAAAATATTTTGGGTTTTAAGAATAATTCTTTCTTTCCCTTCAAGCGATCTGGAAGAAAGAAAGAGAAAACGAAGAAGAAAGAAAGAAAAAATAATACGAAAACAGGTCATAGGCGAGCACACACACGCACAGATAACAGGTGTCGAAAAATATTCAGGTCAAGCATCTGACCGATTTCCGCGGATCCGCGAAAAATGGAAGTTTGTTATCAATTGGTCGTCACCCAAGGGAAAAGGAGAAACGAAGTTTAGGGACAATGAAAATATTGATAAGTAACAAGTGGGAAGTGTGTCATTGGAATGATAGTAAAGGTCTAAGTGGGCGGGGAAGTGTATCTAAGGATATGAAGACAAACCATTAATACGAAAACATAGACAGTCTCCAGAATTAGAAAAAGCCACACAAGGTGGTCGCTGGCAAATTTTTTTTTGAGATAATAAAGATTTTTATTATCAGACCTTCAAGCGGAGGGAAAATGAAATATTTTTATTCCGTTTCAGAAACGCCAAAGAGTCTGAGAAATTCCTTTCTTAGATCATATCCAATTAGCGATAAACTGCTTGACAAATACCACGTGTTAAAAAGCCGAAGGTGTCATCTCAGTCGCCCATGATTAGGGCGATTTAAATTAATATTTTTGTTTGTTTAAGCAAGGTGTTTCTTTCCCAAAACAAAGCCACGGATTGTCCACGCCCGACTAAAGACGTCATTGGCTAAATAAGATCACATGACACACGAAGGAGGAGGAAAGATACCCGACCAGGACCTCATTAGCCGAGAGCGGTCACGTGACGCACGAGGAGAATCGGTCGACGCCCCTATCAGAAGTGTAAGTGTAAGGAGCCGATACGAAGAAGCGGGGAAGCGGGTACACGCCCCTCAGAGGCACAGTAAGGGAGTGGGAGTGAGAGTGAGTTACCGAAAATGGAAAAAAAATGAAAAATCCCTAACCAGAAATAAGAAGGGTGGATACGTATTTAGAATTATCGAAGAACCCCTGGCACCGACAGACCCACCCCAGTTTTGACGGCGTCAATAAAAACGAGACCCCAACCGACAGAAATCAGTTCAGCCGCGGACGGCGGGAGAGTTCAGCCGCGGACGGCGGGAGAGTTTCAGCCGCGGACGGCAAGCGGAGTGGAACCGCGGACGGCGGCCCGAGTTCGGTCGCCCACTTTGCGGGCAAGAGAGGCCAGTTCGTTTGGCCTAAATGAAGAAGTTCGTCCGACCCAAGTCGAAGAGAAGAAGTTAGTCCGCGCACCACCCAAGCTGGCGAGAAGAAGTTCAGTTCGTTCGACCCAAGCCGGAGAGAAGAAGTCAGATTGAGCCGCGGACCCTGGCGAGAAGTTTTGAACCTTGGACGACAAGCAGAGATGAGCGCCCAGTGTTGAAACCGCGTCAAGATAGCTGACCAAGATTCACGCACACTTCTGGACTCTTCTTCAACCAAGAGCAAGTAGTTTGAAGAGCGACTTAGAATCAGACCACAGAAATAAGTTTTTTTCGACTTTCGTCCAAAGACACACCGAAACACAAATTTCTTAGAGAGCAGACAACTGGAAGCCTTAAATTTGCCAAGTAAAAAGCGTCGTGCCACAATCCACAGAACGGGTCGGGAAGTAGACATAGTCCTATGTACCGAGCAAATAGACATAAAAGTTTGTTACCTTTTTCTTTGATACGTTGGATCTTGTGAGTTTTTATTTTATTTTCTTTTATACATAATTGTGTGTTATCACCCCGTTGGACTCAACTTGCATTACGGCCCCAACCCCTGTTTGATCTTGTCTGTCTAAGATCAATTCACAACGTGGGTAGGCAGACTGGAGATCAGTGCAGTTACCCTGGTAACCAGGCGTTGGAAGCGGGTTGGGAACGGCGAGGCTGGTATCAATCTAACCAAAGGGTTAGAACGTCACGTTTGGAGCAGCGAGGAGCGAACAGCTGATGCCGCGGCGAAGACGTCACAGTTGGTGCTGTCCGTGATCAGAGCTTGGGGAGCACGTGACGTCACAATTGGCGCCGCGACCGGGATCGAACGACACAGTCGACGCTGCGACCGGGGGACGACGTCACAACAGCACAGACGCTAGTCAAATTCATCACTGTAAAAAAAACAGTAGGAGCAAACCGCACGTTGTCTATAATACATGACAAATATGGCTCTATATATGTCAGTAAGGACTATCAACAATCGGTGATTTGCAGCAGAATTAGTTAAAGCAAAGGGCGTATCATTCATTCAAATTAACGGTAAACGACCGCACGCATCTTTGGTGACCAGGAACAAATTGCCAATTTCTGATGGATTCTTGCATTGTTCAATTGCGTGTCAGACTTTGTTGAAAGTTGACATTTTGTCCACAAATGAAAGATGGACGTTGAAAAGTTGCACTTTTACCATATTATGCTCTATGAATGATTGCACCAGGACGTTTTTAATGAGGGCACCCCACGCTTATCAGATCATTGCAAGAGTCTGTGCATGATTTTCATTGTTAATTTAAAACGACCACAACTTGGCGCTGGCGTTTGTTTTGGTGTGTTTTAGGCTGAAACCTTTCATCGTACAGTTGTGAGTCAGACTTTGTTGAATGTTAACATTTCATCCACGAATGGATGCTTTAAAGATGGCGGATGAAAAGATGAATTTCAGAATGGAGTAAGTCTAGGAATTGCGTCAAAAATATTCAGAAGGTTTATTTGGATCGTGATCCAGTTTTTCGGACAGTCAAAAATGGTTTGGCGCATTTCGTCAGGGTGATTTTAAAATAAATGGTCAACAACGCTCCAGGCGACCTTTCGACGTCGATAAAGACGCTCCGCTTGCTATCATGGAGAGTAAACCGAAGATTTGAACAGAAGAGATTTCTAAGATTTTGAAAATCGATATCTAAATTGCATTTCGCCATTTCAAGAGACTTGGATTCGTTTCTGTTGCACCGGCCTCTAACACAAGGGTATTACACCGGTTCTCACTATATATAGTGCCAGTAATACCTACCCGGTGTAAGCAGCGACAGTACTACAACTGCCTAGCTGAGTAGTACCCGTTTCCTACCTTTGTATCTGTGATGTTGAATACACTTGTTCTTTAAATCAACTTCGACTTGATTTTCTTATTTTTACTATTGTGCCACGACAAAACAGTTTCAAAATTCGACTCGTCCTGGATATGACGATAAACTACATCCGCATCCAGGGTAAGATGATAAACTACATCCAACAGCAAGGCCTTTGATTAAGAGGTTTTGAGGAGCGTGGAACCATATCTTGTTGATATTCCCAGGTCCACCTTGACCCGGGCTGGTAGCATCTGTTAGGGTCCCAGCTATGGGTAAATAGCTAACCACCAAACTGGAGTTAAAACACTATGAAAGTGTAAAAATAGGTTTTAATACCAGAAATTCTTTGCAAAAAATTATTACCAGCATTACTTTTTTGAAAAAAAAAATTACCAGCGAGATATTTCTGAAGAAAAAAACATTACCAGCTATAAAAATCTTGTCGGCATTAAATAACCTACTGAGGTTGATATGCCGTAAACCAAATCAAACCAAACCAAAATTCGACACGTGGGTGCCACATTCTTAGATGGAACAGGATAAGCTTGACCGTGTTTCTGCCGCGATTTCTTTGCTGTTACACCATGAAAAGGTGCCATGCTCGGACAAAATTGTCACAGGCGATGAAAAATGGATTGTTTATGATAGCGTTCGACGCAAAGGGAGCGGGAACAAGGCTTGTGAATGTGCATAATCAATGGTTAAAAATGGAATTGCAAAAGAGATGCTTGCAAACACAAATGAAATATACGACTTGTCGATGTACCGGAATACACAAGTAGATCCATCTTCATAGCCTTTTTGATGGCCCTCTGTGGAAAACTTTAGTGTTCAAGATATCTATCTATCTATCTATCTATCTATCTATCTATCTATCTATCTCAGTCTCTTTATATCTACCTATCTCAGTTTTTCATTATCTATCTATCTATCTATCTATCTATCTATCTATCTATGTCTGTTCATTATCTATCCCTCTATATATCTGTTTGTCTGTATTTCTTACTTTCTTAGTCTATTCATATCTATCTATCTATCTATCTCGTTTCATATCTATCTCATTATATTCATATCAATCTAGACAGACAAGGATTTATTTAAAATTTACATGGATGAAATCCTGAGAGAATTAGAAGTGGCAACAACCTTACCAAAAATAAGATATGCAAATGGCACAATATTGATAGCAGACGTAGAAAAGAATCTACAGAGACTCTTTCAAATAAAGGAAAGTGAGAAAAAAAAAACTTTAATTGTAAGAAGCCTTTATAAATTATGCTTGTCAGCAAAAAAGAAGAACTCAACACCAGAATTAAAAATTGAAGTTTTGCCAAAAATCAAAGAAGTACAAAGGTTTAAATATCTAAGGAAATGTTTTAACAGAACACGGAAAATTCAACACCGAATCACAAAGACTCATTGACATAGAGAAAGATGCCTTCCAAAAGCTAATCAAAGTATTAAGAAACGTGAAAATATAGTTAGAAACAAAGAGAAGAGTATTGAACTCTTATTTAATATCGGATCTCTTATATAACAGTGAGTGTTGGACAATCTCATCACAGATGAAGAAGAGACTTGACGCAACAGAAATGTGTTCCTACACAATGATTTTGCAAATATTATGTACTCGATATGTAAGCAATGACATACTTTAACAGAAAATTGAAGCAAAAATGACACTTATGCATTGCATCAGAAAGAGATAGAGGAGATTTTTAGGGCGTAAAATGAGGAAAGATAGTTTAGAAATGGCTTCGAGTTTATAACAAATTTGATGGCATTTACGTGCGTACAATGCTACGGAATAGACTTAAATACCCGAGTGATGACGGGCAAAATTTAGTGGAAGTTGGGTAAGCGGAGGTTTCTCTTATTTCGAATATGACTGCCCGGACGATGCGCTGAAAGTTAAGTAATGTAATTTCTTCTTGTAGACTAATTTGAAAATGAAATATCGATTGCTGTCGAAATTTCGTCTGTGGAGTTTTCAAATATTTGGTGAGGCGGGGACCGACCTATTGAAGCCGACAAATCAAACACAATCTGTAATTAAGGGAATTGTCTGAAGTGCATTATAAGTAGAAAAGTGGATGCAGGTTTATTTTTTTTTACTTTTTTAAAGACGTAGTGTATGAATAATGTACAAACAAACCAATGATAACGCATTATTATTGGAGGTTTTGATAGATTTAATGATGTGTACTTTCCGCCAGTTATCGATGTTCGAGACCCAATGAAAGCTATCGTTTCAAATGCTGATTTTCGAGGTAAGTAGAGTGTAATCATTTTCACCGATTCGGCTTTGTGTCGTATCAGGGTAGACCCTTTCCAAGCTGAAGTTTTATTTTCTAAATTTTACCTCCTTTAATCAAACTCAAATATAAATAAAATTTACGAGCAGTCTACACAACACGCATACATACATACATATATATATATATATATATATATATATATATATATATATATATATATATATATATATATATATATATATATATATATATATATATATATATATATATATATATATGTATGGGGCAAAAGTCAGGACCACAGAAGGAAAACACGGAACATGGAGTAGATGTAAGAAAGATATATTAACAACAGGTTACAGAGATAATGTAAGCGGAGCTTACTATATGTTAGTGTCCAATACTGGTAGTCGTACGCGACTCTCACTGTCTCTCTGTGTCTCTCTGTCACTCTGAGTGTTGTGTCGCATACTTAATATAGACCTGGATGGGTTTATTGTGTAGGTAGTTCCGGTCTCATGATAATATATATATATATATATATATAATCATTTATTCGAAAATTATGACATAAAAATGTTATAAAATTACTACAAAAATAGCCATTTTGTTTCAACACTTGAGAAGACACCATAAGTGTTGAAACAAAATGTCTAATTTTGTATTGAATTTAAAATATATTTATGTTATAATTTTCGAATAAATGATTATATTTAGTCTACTTTGTATTAAGCACTCTTTTAAGAATAGTATTTGTTGGTTATTGGAATTTATTACGTATACACTAATCCTATACTTGGGTATATATATATATATATATATATATATATATATACTGTTTAAACGTTGCTTTTAGCGCATGCGAATATTTGAGGAGATACTCTTTTTCTTCATTAATTAGTATATTTAATTATTTCCATTTACCAGCCCGAATATTCGAGAAATCCTTTTAGAAATTTATGCGTTCTCCGGCAGGATTCGAACCGCTAGAAAAAACCATCATTAGATCTGACTTGCTTTAACCGTCCACAAAGAACTTCTTTTCTAAACAGTATATATATATATATATATATATATATATATATATATATATATATATATATATATATTTATTATTTACATTATTCGGACTATTTTCCTCATCTTAATATATATATATGAAGAAATATAGTCTTAAGATGTGCTATATTTATGGGATAAAGTGATCAATATCAGAGATAGAGCGTGTGTAAATATAATAAATATAAAAGTGAACATAGAAGTCAACACTTAGAGGCGACAGTCTGTTTCATGCTCGTCAGGTCACGAGTGCTGTTATTTTTCTCGGCTATTTATATATACGGGTCATTATAAAAACAAATAAAAAATTAATCTAAATTCATCCAAAAATAAATAAAGTAACAAACCGATCCCGATAAAGTAACCGTTAGAAAAAACAAATAAAGATAATCAATCCAAATAAATATATGAAGTAATAAACAAATTAAAAACTGCTCCCACCAAAATAATAGTTAGAATAAACTACAACAATCAGCCCCAAAATAGCTTTAATTATCTTCCCAAACTGAAACAAAACTATTAAATAAGCGATATAAACAAATTTTTACTACGTTAATAAAAACACAGACCAATAAAAAAAAAGTATATAAGACAAGAAGTAAAAATAAAAAATAAAAATAAATAAAAACAATCAAAATAATTTAACCCAAATAAATAAATAAACAAATAAACGACTTCCGTTAAAATAACCGCCAAAATAGACTACCCACAATGCACCACTGACCCGTATATATAAATAGCCGAGAAATATAACAGCAATCGTGGCCTGACGATTTCGTCTAGCATGAAACAGACTGTCGCCTCTAAGTGTTGACTTCTATGTTCACTCTTATATATATATATATATATATATATATATCAGAAAATATTAAGGAACATATAAAATCAAAATTATATAAGGTAAATTATTGAGAAAGTGTATGTGTATATTGAGAGAAGAGGATTCTTGGTCAAGCCGAAACACTTTCAGCATCGTTATTCCTTTTGTATTTCGTTGGTAATGAAGATGTTCTTCTCATCCTATTGTCACTGTGTGAATAGACAGACAGCCGAGAGGATACGACTTCGATCCTTCCGATCTTAACCTCTTCAAGGCTCTTCTTTTATAAGATAAACCTTGAAGATCGTCTTCTTGTTCTTATTTCTCTTCGCTCCAATCATAGTTCTGCTGTTCTACCTTTCGGTAGGTTTGGTGGAGTAAAGAATTGTAGAATCGGAGAACCGAGTTCGAATTCCAGTCAAATTCATTACATTCACTTAGGTGCTAATACTTCTGGGAAAGGTATGAATCCTCTTCTTATCCCACCCAGCTATAGATAAATAGCAGGACAGACCGGATTCTATAGCCTTGGATGGCAACTAGTCTGCCGTAGAAAGAAATGACACCCTACAGCAGGAAAAAGAAATCTGCCACGTCAGTCATGTATCGAAAGATACATGATCGCCTAAGCGTCTATCACATTACTGACTGACTCTTAGTTACGGAATATTAGCTCTTTTCCGCCTCCAAGCCATGGGTAAATAACAGGATAGACTGAGTTTTATAGACTTGTGTGGCAACCTATCTAGGAGAAGGAAAACGGAATTCAAACCAACCTGGAGAGTGGGCTCCGTCAGGCTATCTTGACCAAGGTACGACACTTCTACCGCAGCTGCAGTACATGTGCTGTTTCTACGACACTACGGGGTTCGAGGTCGGGATTCTTTTTCTTTTCTTTTTTTTTTTTTTTTGAAAACCCATTTCTTTTTTTTCTTATTCTCGTTCGTTTTCTTTCTGCCTTCGTCTCCAGTCTCAGCTTTTCACCTGCGTCTCCGTAAGCAGGCCACAATTGCTGTATTTTCGAGCAATAAATCATGAGCTCCCGTAAGCTGTTACTGATCGCGAGTCACGCTTTACTGCATTCAGTTTTCCCAGAGAAAGATTTGTCCGCATTGTTAGCGTATTAGATGTTCAATTTTGCGCAAACGTTGCACGGAACGGCAATAGTTGGACATCGAGCACGAAAAGCGATTCGCCGGGAGTTAACTGAAAGCATTCATCATTTTAATATCGATGAATATTAACGAATATTTCGTATAGTCTTTTGATATCTATGGTACAAAATGTGAGTGAGCGTTTTATTTTTATATTATTGTTCACATGATACAAGACCAAATAGCCACTCAATGTAGAGAGTAATTGAAGGAGTTGGTTAAATTAAAGAATAGAAATTACATTTTGATCAAACCTCGTAATTATGACTGACAAGGAAGAAGACGACGTTGAGGGCTGCATTTTAAATTCTGAGACCTTTATGTCCACCGTGTCTGTTCTTGAATAATAAAGAGCAGGCTTTACTTTTTAACTAAACCTAGCAATACTGCTGTTACTACTACTACTACTAATAATAATAATTCATTATAATATTACTTCTAATAAATAAGTGAAATTAACATGAAGCCAACAATTAATGCTAGAAAAAATGGTCCTTGTAAATACCTGGCTCCTCCTGCTGTGTTCGACCTTTACAAGAGCCAGATACGACCGGAAATGTAGCACTTCTGTTACATATGGGTTGGAACTGCACAGTCTTCACTTTCCAGTCTGGACACAGTCCAAAAGCGTCTACGCGGCTTTGTAGAGGCGGGGTGGGGGGAAGGATTGATTATTTTCTACTATTCTCCATCACCCCCTTTCCCAAGAGCAAGCGTTGTTGCAAACCTCTCGTCACTCAGCCGCTATTTCCACTGAGGATGTTCTGAGCGGCTACATTGTTCCTTTCCACGAACCCTTAACTTCACGGTTAAGACCCGCTACGCCGCGTACACTGAGTAAAACTATTATCATTACCCTCGTGTTTCAAACATCTTCACCTCACGAACTGCTACTTCGTTTAACCGGCTCCCAAGGGGATGCTCTTCATGAAACTTCAACCTTTCAATTCCATATAACATGATATGTTTCATTAAGAAAAAAAAAAGAAAACAATTTTTAAACCATAGACAAATGATAGATGATCACTCATTCCTCTTAAGAAATAAATATCCTCCTGAATGTCCGGAGATATTTACTGGAAAACATAATATAAACGGTTGTAGTGATCTTGCCCCTATCACGATCACGATCAAGAGTCCTGTCACCCATTACAATCATAGAGGTACCACATGTTCTGCAGCCGTAGTAGCAGTGGTATTTCCTCGACAAGGTATCCTGACGGAGGCCAACGCTCCCCAGGCTGGTCAGAATTCTGTTTTCTTTCTCCTAGACCGGTTGCCACCCAAGGCTATAGAACTCAATATGTCCTGTTATTTACCCATAGGTAATACACACTGTTTCGATAAACGTAATACATAATGTTAAATAAGTAAAACTGGGGCGTCTATTTCAAATAAGGAAACTTGAATAATGTTTAAAGTAATGTATGAAAGTATATATATATATATATATATATATATGACTGGACATAGGACAATACCGAGTGGTGACAGTCGCTTTCATGCTGGTATGCAATCATCATGTCATGAAGAAGTGTCTACTCTTAAATTTATACACGCTGTATCCCACATAGGCACATTTACCCATAAGAATAGTATATTTTAAAACCATATTTATATATATATATATATATATATATATATATGGGGGAGAGGGGGTGAAGACGTGTGGGTGAATGTGAGAGCCGACTTTGAATTCTAGTCGAGTTCATTATATTCAGTTATGCACAAACACCCTTGAAAATATATGAATACATCTCTTCCCCTCAGCTATGTTTTAAATAATATTGCAGACGGGACTCTGTCTTGGTAAACAGGCAAGAGGAATGACAACACTGAATTCAAAAGCTAAGTTGGGAGAGTTTGTGGCACATTACATACACTAGTTCTCCGTCTTCGGTTTCCAAATGTGTTGTTGGTTCTGCATAAGCCTTCACCACCATAATGAAATCAAATCTGTGGATAGTTTGGCTTTTCCGTTCTAAGAACTGAGCTGAAGACGACGGGAGAATTTATTACAGAGAAGGAAAACAAAATTCTTCACCGCTGGGGCGAGTATATTGGCGAACAACCAGCAATACACAGAACTTCCGACGGAACTGGAATTCTAAAAACCGAAGTAGAAGCTGTACTGGCCATATTGAACAGAAACAAGGCAGCAGGGCCAGACGGAATCGTAACGGAAATGCTTACAGCCTTAGATGAATTTGGCATTGACAAGATCACAGAAATAATAAATGAAATCTACAGCAGTGGGGACGTATCGGAGGATCTCAGCAGATGTATTTTCATAAAACTACTTAAGAAACCAGGCGCAAACGAATGCGAGCTCTACCGAACAATCAGCCTAATGAGCCACGTCACAAAAGACATCATCCGTAATCTGATGAATAGAGCGCGCAGCAGAATCAGTCCAGAGATTGGACAAGAACAGTGCAGGGTTCGTCAAAGACACTTGAACAAGGAACGCGATATTCATGCTTAGAATTTTATCGGAAAGAGCGATGCAGATGCAGAAGGACGTGTATCTAGGTTTTATAGACAACGCAAGGCATTCGACAAAGTACGCCACAAGGACCTGCTGGAACTGATCAACAACCTTGATATATTCGGGAAAGATATCAGAATAATCAAGAACCTATACTGGCAGCAAACAGCATGCATGTGCATCGGGAATGAGTTCAGCGAATATACAAAGAAAGCGGCGTAAGGCAAAGATGTGTCTTATTGGATTTATTCAACCTATACAGCAAGGCAATTCTGAGGGAACTGGAGATCCTTTATTTCCTTCCTTCCTTCCTTCATTCTTCTTTCCTTCCTTCCTTTTTCCTTCCGTCTTTTCTTCCTTCCTTTATTCCTTCCTTCCTTCCTTCCTTCCTTCCTTCCTTCCTTCCTTCCTTTCTTCCTTCTTTCCTTCCTTCCTTTCTTCCTTCATTCCTCCTTTCCTTCCTTCTTTCCTTCCTTCCGTCCTTCCTTCCTTCCTTCCTTCCTTCCATCTTTTCTTCCTTCCTTCCTTTGTTCCTTCTATTCTTCCTTCCTTCCTTACTTCCGTCTTTACTTCCTTTGTTCCTCCTTTCCTCCCTTCCTTCCTTCTTTCCTTCCTCCCTTCCTTCCTTCATTCCTTAATTCATTCTTTCCTTCCTTCCTTCCTTCCTTCCTTACTTTCTTCCTTCCTTCCTCCTTTCATTCCGTCCTTTCTTCCTCCATTTTCCCTTCCGTTTTTCTTCCTTTGTTCCTTACTTCCTTCCTGCCTTCCTTCTTTCCTTCTTTCCTTCCTTCCTTCCTTCCTTCCTTCCTTCCGTCTTTTCTTCCTTCTTTCCTTCTTTCCTTCCTTCCGTCTTTGTTCCTTCATTTGTTCCTTCCTTCCTTCATTCTTTTCCTTCCTTCCTTCCTTCCTTCCTTCCTTCATTCTTTCCTTCCTTCCTTCCTTTTTCCTTCCGGCTTTTCTTCCTTCCTTTATTCTTTCTTTCTTTCCTTCCTTCCTTCCTTCCTTTCTTCCTTCCTCCCTTCCTTCCTTCATTCTTTCTTTACTTCCTTCCTACTTTATATTCTTTCCTTTCTTCCTTTCTTCCCCTTTCCTTCCTTCGTTTCTACCTTCCTTCTTTCCTTTCTTCCTTTGTTCCTTCATTGCTCCTTTCCTTCCTTCCTTGCTTCCTTCATTGCTGCTTTCCTTCCTTCCTTACTTACTTCCGTCTTTTCCTCCTTCCTTCATTTGTTCCTTCTTTCCTTCTTTCTTCCTTCCTTCCTTCCTTCCTTCCTTCCTTCCTTCTTTTTTCCTTCCGTCTTTTCTTCCTTCCTTTATTCCTTCCTTCCTTCGCTCTTTTGTTCCTTCCTTCCTTTGCTCCTTCTTTCCTTCCTTCCTTCATTCTTTCCTTCCTTCTTTCCTTATTTCCTTCCTTCCTTTCTTCCTTCATTCCTCCTCTCCTTCCTTCCTTCCGTCTTTTCTTCTTTCCTTCCTTTGTTCCTTCTTTCCTTCCTGCCTCCTTTCCTTCCTTCCTTCCTTTCTTCCTTCATTCCACCTTTCTTTCCGTCCTTCCTTCTTTCCTTCCGTCTTTTCTGCCTTCCTTTGTTTCTTCCTTCCTTCCTTCTTTCCTTCCTTCCTTCCTTCCTTCCTTCTTTCTCTTCTTGTTTATTTTCTTCTTTCTTGAATTCATTTTTATACCCTTTCTATTTACATTGTTTTTTCTGTTTTCTATTAATTGTTGTGCATGTCAACCCTCATCTATATGCGTTCTTTCTCTCTTTTTCTTTTTTCTTTCTTCCTTTTTTTCTATCTTTCCTCATTTTACTGACTTTTCCTGTGTCCCATCTCTTTATTTTCTTTAATCTCCACTTCTTTTTAACTTAAATCATTTTTCTTTCTGTCATTTTGCATCGTTTGCCATTTCACTCCTTCATTTGTTTTTCCTTCAATCACCAAATTCTATTTTTCTCTCTTTCTTATTCATGAAATACACTTTCCTTCTTTCCTTCTTTTTTATTTTCTTCTTTTTTCATCATTTAAAAAAAATTACTTCAACTCTTTCCCTTCTGTCATTCAATACGCTCTTCCCTTTCTTATTCTTGAGACACCAACATTTTCTTCCTTTCTTTCTTTCTTTCTTTCTTTCTTTCTTTCTTTCTTTCTTTTACCGTCTTCTAACATGTTCCTTCTCTTTTCCCTTCTAATTTCTTTTTCAATCAATGAAAGAGAGTTCCTTCTTTTCCGATTTATCTACACTCCTGTGTTGCCTGAATGAGATGCCAATATAATCTGCATGAAATTACCCGGCGACTGAAACCTGATTACCTCCCTTGATTGCTTCACCGAGAAACGACTGGAGACGAGAAAATACTATTAAAAAATAAATAAAAAAATAAATTGAATGAATAAATAAATAAATAAATAAATAAATTACTAGTGATTATTCAAAAACTGAAATTGCGAATCGTTACTATGGTAACAGTAAAGATGGCGGAAATTAAATAAAGAAAAATAATTGAAACACCTGTAGAAAAAAAAAAACACGTTGACACATGCACGCTCATACACAAATACACAAACACACACATATACATACACACTTACATATATAGGCTTATACTTGATGTATTTCTTAATTTCGATTTAATTATCTTATCAAAATACTTGATACTTTAATTACTTTTCAAATCAGGTTTAAATTCTCACAGTCTTGCATCCAGTAACATATACATAAATATATCTAGAATTTGTTATATTCATAATAAATATAGAAAATTCAAAACACACACACACATACTCGTACATAAATAAATATGTGGGAGAGTGGTCAGTATCGGTTCGCGTATAGATATAGAGAGTGTGGACATAGGGATTAACATTGTATTGTGACTGTCAGTTACACGTCTGAATGCTATATTCACACTTGATTCGATTATCGCACTAAGGCGTGAAACTGATAGCCACAATGCAATCTTGATTCCTGTCTTCTCCTTTCCACACACACACACACATATATGTGTGCGTGTGTGTATATATACATATATGTACACACACACACAGACAAACACACATATGTTTATATATATATATATATATATATAAATATATATATATATGTGTGTGTGTGTGTGTGCTTACACGTGTCGGGTGGGGGGCTGCACCAAATGGCGATATGCTTTACCGCTTGAACGCAGGGGACGAAAACACATTTGTAAAAAAAAGTTTTCCTTTTGTCTTTATTCATATATATATATATATATATATATATATATATATATATATATGTGTGTGTGAAAAGTCTGTGTATGTAAATATAAATACAAATATATATATATATTATTATTTATATATTATATGCGCGGTACTTATTAGAAAGCGCTCAATATTAGAGATAGAGCTAACATATTTGGTTGGATTGATGTGAGTTTGTGACCCTGGGTTTCACGCTTTAGCGATCGTCAGTTGTCTGACGATCGCTAAAGCGTGAAACCCATGGTCACAAACTCTCATCAATCCAACCAAATATACATATATATATATATATATATATATATATATATATATATATATATATTACAGTTCAAATGTATGATGAAACTATTCACAGAATTAGCATGGCATGAACTTGACTGAAGAGTGAAAAATAAAATGAAATGGCCTCTTAGAGTCATTGGAAAAATCAATGGAATCATTTATCCAACAATATTTTGAGAAACTTTTGCAACGAATGCCAAGAATTTGCGCTGCAGCAATCAAGGCTAAAGGAGGATATTTTGACGAGAGAAAAATTTTATCATAAAATGTTTTTTTTTTCATTTTCCGATAATATAAACTTCTAATAAAAATCAGGTTTCACTTTTTTAAGCATATACAACAATTTTCTCTTATTTAACGTACGAATCTACTTTTTGGGCCAGTTTAAAAATTACCGTGGGAGGCCTTCAAAATTTGGAACCGTAGTGTATATATATATATATATATATATATATATATATATATATATAACATAAAAGTCAACATAGAAGTCTTGCAATCGTCAGGCATATACCTATATATATATATATATATATATATATATATATATATATATATATATATATATAAAGAGTTATTCAGAGCAGTAATGCTTTCTACTTTATTTATATTAGACCACAACATCAAGGGAGGTGTTAGCGATAAGTCAGCCCTTGTTGTTTTTCTTTATTACAGAGAGCAAAATAGTAGGTCGCATGAAAGTGCTTACGAAGCAGTAGAACTGTATCAGCGAATTTGAAAGATTTGCACCGATTTACATTCACCGTTCTTTGGTTATATTTTCACGGAGACCAAACAGAGGAAGCGAGCACGGTTAGGCGCTGGGTAACGCATTTCATCCGTAGCAGCAGTTACCTGAATAACAAGTCGCGTGCTGAATATCGGCTTTAGTACGTCGGAAACGATATTAACAACGTTGGGCCATCACAGAATTTGTCCCATGTACGACCCACGCATACTAACACAAGAACAAAAACTAAATCACCATACTGTCACAAAATGCTCAATCACTAAAAGTGGTAGATTCTTGACTGTATCATCCTTGCTGACAAGATATAGTGTCACAACCACAAACAAAATAACAGCCATTTCTTGTTGGTACCTCGACTTCAGGAATTTAATCATTAGACTTTATTGGCTGTTAGGTCTCACAATTTCACTGTTGCAGTTGGTCGTTTTAATAAATTCTATGCTAATTACTTATTCTTATTATTTAACTTCGACTGGCTACTTTCTTGGCAAATATATCTTCAAAAATGTAAATACTATATCAATGTTCATCTCCTATTTCCTTGAATCTTGTTCTTTTACTGTCTTCTGATTTTTTCACGCTCAGTAAACCCATGGACCTTAGTGGCTTTTGTTGCCTTCCTTGTGCTAAAATTATATATATATATATATATATATATATATATATAGTTTTTAAGGCGTGCTATATTCATGGGATAAAGTGCTCAATATCAGAGATAGAACGTATGTAAATATAAATATAAAAGTGAACAGTGAAGTCAACACTCAGAGGCGACAGGCTGTTTCGTTCTAGGCACAATCGTGGCCTGACGATTACATCTAGCACGAAACAGCCTGTCGCTCTGAGTTGAATGTTCACTTATATATATATATATATATATATATATATATATATATATATATATATAAAAAAGGCGTGAGGTCATGTTTAGAACTTTAGTTTTCAAGCTTGAAACATTGAACCAACCCTTGTGAATGAATTTGGGCAGAAAAAATTATTCGGAAGCCGTCGAAAGTTGTGCTAACTCGAAGACTCAAGTCATCGTGACCGAGATTTTTCACGCACTGGAATTGTTTAAAAATCTTTGATCAAGACAGATTATGCTCTCTCTCTCTCTCCCAGAAAAATTGACTACAATCGCTTCAGGATAGTTGAAGTACAAACAACTAGTTGGTTTTATGGGTTTTGTAGAACTACAATGTGACTGAGAAGGCAATAGGGAGAAGCAGCCAGACTTTTTACGTTTACTTTATTTGTTTGCATGTGTCGTATCTGTAAAATTTCGTGCAATTTATTTTAATAATCTCTCTACAAGACGTAAATATCAGCTAATATCTGAATTACGCATTTTTACTGATAAAAATGGTAACTTCCTGCATGGGATTGGGAACTTCCGGCATAGTCTATTCTGTCTTGAATGGAAAAGTTAATGCGTTTTCTAAATTCACATTTTGCGAGTTGCTCTTTAATTAAAAAGACTGGTCCTCACCTGAAGATCTTTTGAGATGTGAGGCCTTTTCGAATACACTCGTCTTTTAAAAGGAAGAAATCATTCATCTGTATTTTGTCTGATGCTTGTAGAGAAGAGAAGGTCTTAAAAATAGATTTCTGAGCGAAGATTTTTAAAAACGAGTAAAAAAGAAAAAGAGACAAAATTGCAAAGAATGAAAGTAGGAAAAGAAAAGAAAGTAAAGAGTAAAATAATGGGAGGAGTATGAAAAGTCATCCGATAATTATAGCCGAAAGCGATGGGTGATTATCGCTACACAGTCGTCTGTAACTAAAATGTGTTGATTGCATGAACAAATCAAATAAAATGCATTAGATAGATAGATAGATAGATAGATAGATAGATAGGAATAAAGAAAGGAAGTAATGATGGAAAAGACACAGATAGATAGATAGATTCATAGATTGTTCATCATCTATCTCAGTCTGTTCATTATCTATCTATCTATCTATCTATCTATCTATCTATCTATCTATCTATCTATCTATCTATCTATCCAGAGGGTGCGATGGAAAAATTGTCGTCTCAGTTATGCAAAAACGAAAATAACACTGACATCTCATTTTAACAGATGTATTTACCAAAATTACTCGGAAATATCTTGAAATACTAAAGAGTAAATTTATTCAATAAAATCACCATTGGCTTCGACCACGGCCTCCAGAGGACTTCGGAATCTCCTGCGACTCTTCTGGACGGTGTCTTTGTTTAATTTGTTGAATACTGCTCTAATCCTTGCCTCAGCTTATCTTTGGTGTTACAAGGTTTTTTTTATTGTTTCTTGCTCAATATATATACTCAACGGGGTCTCAGTCTATAGAGTTAGGTGGCTAGATGTGAAGGGGTGATGTAATCCCCAAAATTATCTAACAGATATGACTGTGTTATCCTGCTTTAGTGATATGGTACAGAGTCCTGTTGCCAGACATAGTATCTCCCAGCAGACATTCTCTTGACCCAGGACAGCACTACATTCTCAAGGCATTTAATGTAGGCCTCCGTGTTGAGTCCAAAGCCCTCTGGAAGATGAATGGAGGCATAACATCGCCATCCCTGATAATTACCCCAAAAATCTTCGTAATCACCATTAGACTCATCCAACTCTCTTCAAATCTTCTGCAGTGTCCTCAAATTGACAGCCAAAGACTGCCAAGCAGTACAGCATGCCGTTTCCAAATTTCTGGTGGAGTGAATTGCATCATGGTGCTCTTTTTCTCGTAGACGGTGATCAACTAACCCTACTATACTCTACAGTTTACAAAATCAAAAACAAACAAGGAGCATGCGCAAAATTGAAAATAAAAATGGCGACAATTTACCAATCTCACCCTATATATACAAACCTATCTATCGGACTGAGATAGATACATAGATAAACAGAAATGAAGAAAGGAAGGAATGAGAGAAAATACATAGAAGAAAGATAGATAGATTGTTTATTATCTATCTCAGTGTGTTTATTATATATCTATCAGACTGAGGTAGATAGATACATAGACAGAAATGAAAAAAGGAAGGAATGATGGAAAAGACAGACAGATAGAGAGAGCGAGCGAGCGAGAGAGAGAGAGAGAGAGAGAGAGAGAGAGAGAGAGAGTTAAGGTGAGTGAATCCTTGCAACGTTGAAGTGGAAAGATTACATTGAATCAGTCACTAGGTCATCTGCTGGCAGAGTTGTTTCACATTGTCCCGCTAGACAATTTTTCTCGCCAGAATCTATCTTACGTATTAATAAGTTTACTATTGGCCCATGCATTACGTATTACTGTCACATCTGGTGTGGTCCTTCTAATATGTATTTAAAGGTTCTTGATAAAATACAAAGAAGATTCTACAATGTTACTCTTCCTGATCTGGCATCTCGGCTTTAGTTACTTTTCCGCCGCCGTAACGTAGCTTTTCGTTGCCTTTCCTATAAATATTTTCCTTGTAATTATTTTGATTCGAGTGAAAACATTTAGATAGATAGATAGATAGATAGATAGATAGATAGATAGATAGATAGATAGATAGATACTATTATGATCATCATCATTTGTGTATGTTATGTTTCCTGCTTTGTACCCTATAGAGCCGGGTCCAAACTATGGTCCTTAGGCCCTATAGGAGAATTGTCATTTAACTGATAGCACTTTTCTTAGTATATGAGATGTTACTAGTAGGCCGATCTTCTGGGCAACTTGTATGTTGATGTTACCTGGGGCACTGTTAGTGAAATTGTCTATTGCTCTTTTTACAAGGCCCAGTGCTCCAATTACTATTGGTACAGTCTCAGTCTTCATTCCCTACATCCTGATAATTTCGATCTCCAGGTCCTTGTATTGGGAAAATGTCTCGATAATTTTCATGGAGTATTTCTTTCATATGGTAATGCTATGTCAACAAGCATACACTTCCTGAATGTCTTGTCTTTTATGGTAATATCAGGTCAGTTGGCTTTTATTTACCTGTCAGTTTGGCTTGGCATGTCCCAGAGGATAGTTACATCGTTATTTTGAGTAACTGTGTCTGGTTGGTGCCATACCATCTCTCAGTGGTTTGGGACATCCTGAGATAATATGGCCGACAGTTTCATCATATTTTCCGCAGATCCTGCATTTCAGGCTAGTTCTATCCTTAATTATGTAACAGTGATAGAATCTGGTTGCAAGGCTTTGGTCCTGAGCTGCAATAATTAGGTCTTCTGTCTTAGATTCCAACCCATTGCTCCTCAGCCAACGATGTGTTTTCTGTTGGTCCACATCTGCATCTTTCCTTCTTTTTATGTATTTGCCATGCAACGCTTTGTCATTTCAGTTTTTTTCAACTTCATTTAACCAAGTTCTTTTGCTTTCTGTTTTACTCGTTTGGCGTAGATGGTATTCGCTTCGTCTTTTGTTGGTAGGTTTTCATATTAAGCTGTTTCTTGAAGAGTGCAGCTTCTTTGTTGATGGAGTTAATTTGGTGTTTTATTATTTGTAGGAAAGTGTCATTGGTTTTCGAAAGGTACGTTTCCAATCCGATTGTCGTAGTTTTTAGTGTTAGTCCAAGTTAGATTAAACCTCGGCCTCCTAAGCCTCTTGTTACGTACAGCCTATTAACATCTGATTTCGGGTGGTACATCCTCATTTATTATTATTATTATTATTATTATTATTATTATTTTTATTACCTTTGATTTCTGTTGTGTACACATTTCTTTCCGTGTCCTGACCAGAGTCCTAAGGTTCAAAGTGGCTTCATGTCATTTTCCAATGATCATTTTTGTAAAAAATAAAAAATAAAAAATAAAAAAAAACAAACAAAAAAAACAACCTGAGATGTTTGAGTGCAATCTTTTGTATTTCTTTAAGGCATGTGCTACCAGGAGTTCCATCAAGGAGTCTTACGGAACTTTTTTTATAGTCAATCCAAGAGCTTCAACTGCAACTGAAATAACTGATGTCCTCATGTGCCACATCTTTGAGATTTCCACGTCAAGATTCTGGTATTTTGATAGATTTTTGAAGATCTTCAAAGCAGGGTGATCCGAATGACTTATCACCCCTATATAATATGTTTTTTTTTAATTTCAAGTGGCTGATACGAGCTCCTAGAGTTTGGAAGAGAGGTAGAGGGTGACAAGATTTCGAATCACTCTGTACATTAAAACCTGAAGGGACTGTCATGTTAATAAGAAGGCACATTTTGTTCTTGCGGTCTTTGATCACGATGTCTATTATTATTATTATTATTATTATTATTATTATTTGAGGGATGTAAAATGGTAGTATTGTCTACTAAGATCTTACTTGCATTATTGACTTTTGGAAAGTAAGTTATATCTAAAGTGTAGACACCTAAGGAAAGAGTACTGAACTATTATTCAAATCTTCTGCAGTGTCCTCAAATTGACAGCCAAAGACTGCCAAGCAGTACAGCATGCCTATTCTTCTTCTTCTTCTTCTTCTTATTATTATTATTTGAGGGATGTAAAATGGTAGTATTGTCTACAAAGATCTTGCTTGCATTATTGACTTTTGGAAAGTAAGTTATATCTAAAGTGTAGCAAATAATTTTAATCCCTAAGGAAAGAGTACTGAACTATTAAGTAATATCAGTCCTTCTATGTGGCAGTGAATGTTGATCAATCTCTTCACAGATGAAAAAGAGATCTGAATCAACAGAAAGGATGATTGAGAATACCATGGATTGAACTTGCCAGAATCTATCTTACATATTTATAAGTCTAACATTCGCTCATGCCTTGAATTTTGCTGCTCCAGTGCTTATATATTGCTTACCTGTGACTTTTCCATAAATGACTTTATAATAATTGTTCTGATGAGCACTTCGCTATGATACATAGAATTTATGAATTTAAGCGCAATACTAGACTGCCGAAGAGTTCTCCTTGATTTACTGTTGAATTTGCGAGATGTATTCGCAAGTTCTATGAGAGTTACTTTTTTTTAGCACTTATCGCCATTTGAACAAGGATAGCACGCTCAAGCTCTCAGCCGAGATGACAATGACCATTATATATATATATATATATATATATACCCAAGTATAGGATTGGTGTATACAGAATAAATTCCAAAAACACTATTCTTAAAAGAGTTAATACAGAGTACAGCAAATATAATTTATTCGAAAATTATAACATAAACATGTTATAAATCACTACAAAAATAGCTATTTTGTTTCAGCACTTCTGGTGTCTTATCAAGTGATGGTGTTGAATGTAGAATAAAGAGTTTTAAAAGATAAAAAAAAACCCAACATCCCTCGATAGTGGAAACGCTGTTACTATTTTTGTAGCGATTTTATAATATGTTTATGTTATAATTTTCGAATAAATTAAATATATATATATATATATATATATATATATATATATAGTTTGTGTGTGTGTTTCACGCTATTGGTTACTTCATGTTTGATTGATGCATAAAATAAATGCTTATTGCAACGAAAATTCTTATTTTTTGAATTATGCGAACATCTATATATGAAGTCAGTATAAAACTCGGTTCGTTTTAAAAAGGCGTAAACAAACGTTGATAATTTGTGCGAAATTTTGAAGTTTTAAAATGTCTTGTAGGACAATTGTAACGAATAATTGGAAATATACAATAACTCTTGTACGTTAAAAAATACATTACTCTAATTAAAAGGAAGTAACCCGAGAAAGAACAAGAATTATGCCCTTATTTTGATGTTGAATTGGTTAAATGTCTCGTAGGCCGACAGGAATCTCTCTTTGCCGCCATAAATTGTGGGAAGATGGCATGGTCTGGTCACGTCACACGGTATGACAACCACTACAAGACCATCATGCAAGGCACTGTTGAAGGCAGACGCGAGCGGGTACGGCAACGCAAGAGCTGGTCAGCCAACACCAAAGTGTGGATGCATGTGACAATGCCGGAACTTCTGAGAGCCTCCGCCAACGTGATTATGGACTTTTAGGAACGGATTAGGATGTCTCAATCTGGGAGGCTCGGATTGAAGAATCGGAGAGCCGGGTTCAAATACCAGTGGAATCCATTACACTCACTTACGTGCTAATACCCTTTGCAAAGGTATGCATCCTTTTCTTCTCCCTCCTTCCCCAGCTATGGGTAAATAGCAGGACAGACCAGATTCTATAGCCTTGGACGGCCACTGGTCTACCGCCGAAAAAAATGTTACCTAATGCGGGAAAGAAATCTGCCTCGTCAGTCATGTATCGAAAGATACATGATCGCTTAAGCGTGTATCACGCATGGCACATAACTGACTGACTGTCTCAATCCAACAAGCTTAACTATTCTTAGGTTTCTTCTGCAGAGTGCACCTCTGCATTGTGATGTTGCATCATGGCATCCTTTCCGTTTGTCAAAACAGGAAATTGCACATGTTATAAACGGCTAATGGATTGTTAAAAAGACTCATAAAATATTTGCAAAACTCTTTTTTGAAATTTCTTTTTATTTCTTGTTTCATTTGTTTGTTTACAGACATATCAACATCCTTATGGGTCATTTAATGCCGAACTTTAATTTTCGTGAGAGCTTTGAATAAAAATCTGATCTTTCACAATTAAATACATGTTAGATGATACTCGGCTTTTGTGCCTATCAATGTTTATATGGAAATATTTACTAGAGGCAGTGATATGTTGTTTTGTTGAAGTTCTATTTTGGAATACAGTTTAATTTTTTACGAAATCGTAGGAAATAACAGAATTATATGATTTAATGCCATAAAAATTTGTTTCTTTCTGATTGTTTGATTTTGTTTAGCGACATATCAACTTTTATGTGCTTTTAATGCCGAAATTTAAATATTTTGAACGCAATTGTATGCCTTCCACTACTGATGATAATTTTACTATAAATATGTATTGTTGATCATTTTTTATATGAAAAATGTATTGCTTGTATTTTTACTATAAAAATGTATTTTAATACTTTCATAGTGTTTTGTTTGTGTTTGGGGGGTTTACTATTTATCTGTAGCTGGGACCC